TTTTGGCTCTAATGCCAAGGATGCGAAGATTAAAGCTGCCAGCAGATCGATTATTTGTAATTGATTTAACCTTTCCTCTTCTGGCATTGACTGATCTTTAGATTTAAATGAAGATCCGGACTGTGAAACTTCTGTAAAGTTAAGGTGCCTATAAAGGCAACGATGGAACAGGATGGTTCCTCTTAAGCGGTTGGTGTGTGTGACCTTTTAGCGCAAAGGCCGTTATAACCATAGGCAGCCTTCCATGGACCACATGCTGGAAGTGGGTGGGACTGATGTTTTGGACTGCAGCTCCCATCTGCCCAGTCAGCAAGACTGCATGATGCTTGGGCTGATGGAGACACTGGGGCTGATGGGAGATGTAGTCCAAAACATCTGGAGGAGGAAGGTTGGGGTAGGCTGATATTTAAGAAGCAAACAAACTGCAGCGCAAATATAACATCATGCCTTCCTCCTCAGACTACAATTTCCATAATCCTTGGCCTTTGTCCAGTTTTGCTGCCAGGACTTCTGGGATCAGTGGTGCCAGGGAGGGGATCCTAAGACTCATGTGCCTTGGCTGTCACTGGAGGGTGAAGAACTCGAGCTTGTGCTGTGTTTTCTGCTGAAATCTTTTAATGCTCAAATTGGTATGGTACACAAGCAAAAGAGGGTTCAAAGGGACAACAGGTGCCGTGCAGTGCTAAGCAAGCTAAAACATCGAAGCAGCGAACTACACTACATTATATGGGAAGGGGGTGGGCACAACTTTAGGGCAGCAAGCAGGATGTTCTTTTGGAATGGTCAAACGAGCAGGAGCTCTTTCTGGTGGTCTACACCTGAGCTGTCTGTTTACGCCTGTGCTGGTTTCTCCAAGTCCTCGATGATGGAGGGGGCATTAGCGCCAGCTCTGAATGAGACTGGGCGGTGGACTTCTCCTGAGAGGATGGGATGGGGGCAGGCCCGAGTAGTGCCAGAGGTGAGGCTGGCACAGGAGCCGGGGCTGAAGTGGGTACAGTGCACCTGGGGGATGTCAGAGGGGATGGGGCAGAGTGCTGGGGCAATATGCCACTGGGTCCCTCCTCAGGACCCGACTCCTTGACCATAACTTCTCTTGGGGTGACTCCTCTGTTGCCACGCTGCCTGTTCCATCCCGCTGGGCCCTTTCCAACTCCACCCACCGCTCATCCTGACTTGGCCAGTGTCTCCTCGGGACTCATGATGGAAGACATCTTAATCTTAATTTGCATGGTGTAATCAAATCTGGGACATCAGAACATGGTTAGAGTAGGGACCAAAGCCAAGCAAGACAGCTCTAATCTCCACCCCCACACCCCGGACAACCTTAATGCCTTGCGTGTGATTCATCTCCCATTTTTCTCCTGCCTCCAACACGGTGGCGATATCCTATCTTCATTTCCAGAGGAGTGTGGCTGCCTTGATGGAGACGTCTTAATATCTGTGACTAGCAATCGTTGCCTCCCTGCTTAATCAATGCTCCTTACGCACCGACCTCTCTGGATCTCTGTGTTTGCCTGCAAGAACTGTTGTTGTCAGCCAGTTCCAGGGACTCGTTGCAAGCCCCTCTCTCCGTCTGCCTTCCCCCTCCCGTTCAGCCCCTGGAGAGTTTCTGATGAGCTCGTTGCGTGTTTCATTCTCCATCAATTCCCACCATCGCGGCAAGGCAGCGGCAATTGCTTATAATAAAACATGTCTGTGGCCTAGGAGTGAGTGATGATGCGTCTTGCATGTGCTGCGGCACTTGGGCGTTGAGGGCTTCTGCAAACAGAGTTGGATCGTGGCGCTGATCTGGTTGTGTCGTTCTCACATGGCACAGATAAGAACATAAGATGAGCGGGCCGGGTCAGGCCAATGGCCCATTTAGTCCAGCATCCTGCTCTCACGGTGGCCAACCAGAGGCCTGTGGGAAACCAGCAAGGAGGACTAAAGCACAAGAGCTCTCTCCCTTCCTGTGACTTCCAGCAACTGGTGTTCAGAAACATTGCTGCCTCCATAGCCATTGTGGCTAGTAGCTATTGGTAGCCTTAACTGCCACAAATGTATCCGTTCCTCTTTTAAAGCCATCCAAATTGGTGGCCATCATGGCCTCCTGTGGAAGTGAGTTCCATAGTTTAACTATCTGCTGCATACAAAAGTACTTCCTTTCATCTGCCTGAATCTTCCAACAGATAAGCAGCCTTTTTGATTTGTCAGCAGCTCAGGGTGTGTTGTGGTTTGTGCACTTAGTTCCTCTTTGGGGGTGGGTGTATTTTGAGCTGGGACGTTCAGCCAGCAGTGCCAGCATTCAGCACAGTTTTACTCAGGAGAAAGTAAAGGCGTTAATCTAAAATCCAGTTTCTTTCTGCCAGCAGCCTAGAGGAATCTTAGGTGATTGATTGTACGAGTTTGGAGTGGTTAATTGACTAGATCTGCAAATATTTGTCTATGAAGAAGATAATATTTGTTAAAGATGAAAAGAGTGCTTTCTTCTGTTTTACATGGAGCCTGGATATGGTGTGTCAGACATCATTATAGAAGCATTCCCTCTTCCTGTGTAGGTGAAGAAGAAAGGGATGCCTCTTCCCAAATGACAGTTGCTATCTGCAGTTTTTAGACATAACAATAATTAAATTATCAACATTTTTTTAGGCTTCCCCCCTGTTGTGCTCCTCTTCTTTCTTCTTCTTCTTTCTTCTTCTTCTTTAGGGGGTGCCTGGTTAGTCAATCCAAAGGATCTCAGGCTGTAATCCAGTCTTTAGAGCTGGGCTGTGGTGCAGCCACTATTGCGTTCACAGTCCTGCTGCTCCTCCCATCTGGGGCAGAAGGCTGGGTGAGCAGGGTAGAGGTGGAGGATAGGCAAATCAATCAAGTGGTGGCAGTATGCCCAGCTCAGGATCCTGCGGATCCTGGGCTGACTCAGTCCATCTGCTCCACCATAATGGCTCATTTGGACTGGGGCTGATGGGAGTCCAAAATGGCCACGCTGGCTGGAGCCGATGGGAACTGTGGTCCAAAATATTTGAAGGGGACCTAGTTGGCAAAAGACGATGTAGAATCTTAAAAGGAAGGATGAAGCCGCAGCAGAGGAGAAGAGGGGCAGTGCTGTGGAGAAAGCCAGCTGGTTGATGATGGACTGGAGATTTGTGACAGGCAGGCAGCAGTTCTTCCTTGAGACAGGATCAGGAGAGGGCCCAAGACAGTCCTTGGGGGGTCTGCCTGAAGCTGGAGGCTGGAGGAGGGTGTTAGGGAGAGGTGGCAAAAGATAAGCTTGTATAAGAGAGGAAGAGGTAGGCATGAAGGTCCAAAGCAGTGACTGGCCCAAAGCCACCCAGTGTGCTTCATGGCTGAGTGGAGGTTTGAACCCTGGTCCTCCGAAGTCCAGTCCAGTTCTTGAAACCACTGCTGTACACTGGCTCTCAATGAAGGCTGAGAGTGGTGTGTGGGTGTGAGTGCAAGATGCAGAACAGCAGCCTTCACCGACATGGTGCCCCCCAGATGCTGCAGGACCCCAATTCCCATCAGCCCCAGCCAGTGTGCTTGAAGTCCTGCAACATCTTACAGGGCGGTGGGAATAACTCTGCAAAACAGCAACATGAAGATTCAGAGGGAACGGAGCCTTAACAGCATCTCGCATTGCTCAAGTGCCTTATCCTCCGTCGCTGCTAATTGTTGCCAACTCTATTACAAAGCCTGGCTGCTCAGGGGGGTGATCAGTTCGCTCCTGGCCCCTAAGCAGCTCAGTCGAAGAGGATGTGTGCTGCTCTCTTTGATGGGGTGTCGTCATCATTGGGGGCCTGTTGGATGTTTTCTGGCCCTGCCACGAGCCCACCCCTGCCTGCTGCTGCTGCAGCCCAGAGGAGCAGTTGCTGAATCTTCACAGTTTAATTAGATTTCTCCGGCAACGGCATTACAGAGAAAATGGCGGTTCTTTCCTACCCGGAGGGCCAACAATCTGGCAACTAATGAAGAGGCAGAGGGCCAAGCGGGGAATTGGCTGGGAGTGCTTGCAGGAGAGGAGGGAATCTTCCTTATGCAGGGATGCCTTTCTTTGGAGGCCTCCAGGCCCCAGCACATTTCTCCTCCTTTTCCAGGGGGCTTCATAACCAACCCTCTTGGAATAGGCACCTCTCTTGTTGCATGGATCTGACGAAACTCCTTTTCTTCCTGACTCAGCCTTCCGATTTGAGCATGCAACAGAGGCTATATGAATCTAGGTATATCCTCATAGTTCTAAGGACTAGAATCTTGATTTAAAACAGGTGGAGGGCACCAGGCTGGAGAAGCCTGGCTTAGATTGTCTGCTGCCTTCTCTCTTTTTGGCCATTACCGCAAACCAGTGGGCCTTCTCTCCTTCCAATGCCAGCGTCCAGTTTTCCTCCCTGAGTGTTGTCCTTGGCTGCGAGGCCTGAGGTTCACCTGTCTCTGCCTTGCCTTGCATTAATCCAGAGAGACAAAAGCGCTTAGGGAGGTGCTGGCCCGGATGGGCAGGTCTTCTCTGGGGCTTGTTTTTATTCTGCAGCTGTTCAATCCCAGACCACGGAGAGGATGGATTTATATATGAATTATGGAGCGAGCAAATTATTTAAAAATAAAGAATGAAGGGAAGCTTTTTATTGCCTTGGCTGCTGCCCGCTATGCCATTATTGGCAGCATCATAAAAAGAGTGGGGTGCGGGGAGAACAACACGACTTCGCATGGATTGCAAATTGCGGTGGTAATTGTAGCATCTGTGTGCGCTCGGAGAGTCAAAGCGTGGCCAGGTGGGGTGGCTTTGAGCATAGCAGTATGGGCATTATACGTGGCTGGCCGGCTGGCTTAGTTAATAGTTTTGGCTCTGAAGAGCTGGGTGTTCCGGCCTCCCCACCCCAGCCTCCTACTAGCTCTGTAGTCAGACCAGATGGAGAGGAAAGTGTCTTGTTCCTCCAGGAGTGGGCCGCATCCCACCTGATTGTAGAATTGTACAGTTGGAAGGGACCACGAGGGCCATCCAGTCCAACCTCTTGCAGTGCAGAAATCATTTTTGCCCAGTGTGGGGCTCAAACCCGCAACCCTGAGATTCAGAAGCTTATGTTCTACCGACCGACCTGTCCCTGAACCAAGGGCCCTCCACAGTCGTGTTGGCTGGGGCTGCGGACAGAGGCGAAGCAACCTGCTCTGGTACCCAGAGCGGCGCTTGTCCCAGGGGACGTGGCATGCATCCTGGGAGGTGCCGCCAATCAGGGGTCAGCATTTTGTCACCCCCCCCTTTGGAATGGTACCCGGAGAGGACCGCCCCCCCCCCTGGACCTCCCCTGGCTGCGGAGAGTTTGCCGTCCGTAACAGCTGGAAGGCACCAGGTTGGGGAAATCCTCAGCTGCCCTGCCCTTTCTCTCTTGTGGCTGCAGAGGTGGCAGAACTGCCACTGTGAACATAATTCCCACCCCACATTTGTAAAAACTTGATTCTTCAGTGTAGCAGCGCTTGCAGATTGGAACTCCTTGCCCATTGGTATCGGGCAGGCCCCTTCGCTGTACTCTTTTTGGCACCTGCCAAAAATATTCATGTTTAGAATTAAAAGGTAAGGGTATAAAAAGTAAAGAACCCCTGGACACTTAAGTCCAGTCAAAGGTGACTATGGGGTGTGGCGCTCATCTCGCTTCAGGCCAAGGAAGCCGATGTTTGTCCACAGACAGCTTTCCGGGTCATGTGGCCAGCAGGACTAAACCGCTTCTGTTTAGAACTGGAAGCTTAGAAATTTGATGCAAGTTTTAATCTGGTTTTAGTCTATTGTTATTTTAACTGCTCAGACATTTAAAATTACTGTTAATTTTTTGGGTGATAATCTTATTGTTTTATCTTTGTTGTAAACCATCTGTAATGGGTTGGCCTTGTGAGTTGCCAGCCTGCTTGCTGCACCTGCCCTGCCCATTCGCCGTGGCAGGCGTCTTGCCAGTTAGCAGATGTAATCAGAAGCGTACAAAAACGATGTCTGGTTTATTTCTTCGCTAATGGAACTAATTCTATACTGCCTTTCACTCTCCAGAGAATATCAAAGTGGTATCTTGTTTTAAATTATATGCTCCCAACACACATACCTGAACACCACCACCCCAACGTGGAGGCAATAATGCTTCTGAATAGCTGTGGCTAGAAGCCATAGGGGTAAAGAGAATGCTCTTGCGCTTGGATCCTGCTTGCTGGTTTCCCTTTGGGGCATCTGGCTGGCCACTGTGAGAACAGGATGCTGAACGACATGGGTCTTTGGCCTTCTTATGCTGTCAAAAGCAGTCTTACATTCTGTTTTAAATCTCCTCCTCAAACTCCTGCATACAAGAAGAATGGCACTTGGGGACCTAAGCTTTTATTCACTGCCTAACCTTGAAATGCATGCACCTAATAAGTAAATTAATTGAGGTGCGTGGTGACATGTATCCAGGGCTGTGGGTGCACTGTGATTCCCCCAGTCCTGGTAGTTTTTGGGTGTTGGTATATGAGATAAGCAGTTCTCAGCTGCAGATTTTAATTTGCTCTCTCGGCCCCGTTTCCTGCATGTCTCTAGTTAGTCATGAACATGAGCTGGATTCTTCTGTCCTCGATTAGATGATCAAAGGGAGGCAGAAGGGAAGGGCTGGCATCCCTCTGATTGGATCTCCCCAAAGGGAACAGAGCATGCAAGGAGTGCGTGCCCTCCCCAGCCTGGCTTAATTACTTCCCCATCTAATCATAAGTGGCGCAGTAATTAAAGTGCCACCGCCAAGAGGGAATGGCCTAGGGACAGTCTAGACAGCAATTTGCAGCAGTTTAAATGTGGATGCTGCTGTCCCAGGCAAGGCACATTTTCACCCCAACACCCCCCCCATGAAACCGCTTGATATCTGTGTACCTGTTGGGTGAGGCTAATCCCTTCCTCTTCCTCTCTCCTATTCTAAAGAATTCTCTCATTTTGCTCACCTTGCTCTCGAACATCAGATGGAGCTGAGGTGATAACAGGGCGGCTTCTGAGAGCCAGGGAAAGTGTATGGTTGGGTTTATAATGGCCCAATGCTACGTGCAAAGCGTTTGATGTTGGCCGCGAAAGCCAACATCAACTTTTATTAAAAAATGATAGTCATAAATAAAAAAGGAAGTTTCTAGCTCTCATTATTGTGAAAGTTGGCTCGAAGGTTCATGTGGGCAATCGATGCCAGAGAGGAGTCGCTGAATAAGTTTCTCTCCACAGTTCCTCTCACTGCCTAGCCAGGGAGGTGGGGGGACGATGGGGAGACAAACAATAATAAATAATTCCACCTGCCTTGAGCTTCCTGTGTGGCAAGGTGGAATAAAAAGGCATACAATAAAATATCATGTATTACATAAAAACATATCGGAACCAATTATGCCAAACATGATTTATTTATTTGCGGATTTATATGTGAAGTGCTCTTCGAAGCTTACATAATAAAAAAGAATTAACACTTTTCAAACATTATTTAAATTAATAATGACATGGAAAACAATATACAAAAGGCAGCAAATAAAAACTGAGTGAAATATGAGAAATTGCAATAGCAAAAGTACTATTTATATTGTCTGTCTATGTGTTCAATTTTTTAAAAAAAATATTGCTAGAGTTGATTTATTAATTGCTTTCTAAACCATTATCTCAAAGCGATTTACATATAAAATACTGTAATTAAAAACAGTTTAAAAGTGGACACTTGTGGCAGAGACCCATTTATCCAGCTGGGAAAGCCCATTGTAACAGAAACATCTTCAGTTTTTTCTGGAAAATGCAGACAGTGAGGACCTGATATATCTGGACAGGAATGCTATTTCACAGGGTAGGAGCAGCCTTACTAAAAGCCCTGATCTGAGATACTGTAGTAACCTGGTCCTGAGCTATATAGAACCTTTTATGTTAGTACCAACACCTTGAACTTGACCTGGTAGCAAATTGGTAGCCAGTGCACATCCCGCGAGCAATGTTCTATGTTGGGGGTAGTTTGCCCCCACAAGCAGCCTAGTTGCCTTCTGACATAAAATCCTATAGGTAGTACCAATATTATTTTCCACACATTGCAGGCAAGCCAAGAAAGAGAGGCTAGTGAGTTCTTGGCAGAGGCTGGACTTGAACTGGGGTGTTTCTGATTTCAGAGCTCACTCTCTTAGGCAGTGATCATTTTAATCTTTGGCTTTAATGGTCTTACAGCATTTACAGCTTTTTAGATGAGGGTGGGGAACTTTTTTGGTAGTCTGGGGGCCACATTTCCCTGAAAACAACCTTTCAGGGGCCACATGGCAGTAGTAGGTGGGGCCAGGAGCAAAAATGTACAGAGCCATGGATTACCTTTGTGCAGCAGGGCCCTTCCCAGCCATGCAAAGGCCAGTACATCTCGCCACTGAGGCAAGCAAGAGCCTTAGTCATAGTTCAAGGACATGTCCCAGTCGGGTACCAGCACTTGAGGAGGATGCAGAATGCAGAGGGTGGGAGGGATGTTGCCTGGTGGGAGTCCATGGGCTGGATAGACGGGATGAGAGGGCTGCATTTGGTACTTGGGCCTGAGGTTCCCCACCTCTTCTTTCAAAACATGTCTGCGTTTGGGGGCCTCTTCTGCTCCCCCACAATTCTGCCCTGATGACACCACTGCTCTCAGCTACTTGGCTGCACCAACTGTCAATTACACGGTTCTGCTACATGTGCACAATTTTTGTGCAGGTTTCAGAATACAGATGCTGCTGGCAGGGCATGTCGATGGACTGAATTGGGTAAAAAAAAATCCCAGCACAGAGTTCGCGACCCTGAGTCGAGAGCCTCAGCTGCAGAAGGTTTGATTGACTGCCAGGGCAGGGTGGCGCAGCAAAGGCCCCGCATCAAGGGGGATGGTTGAGTGTGCTGAATTGTACTTGGACAAAATGCCTCCTAATTTGTATGGTCCACTCCTCCAACACCACACACACACACACACACACACAGCCCTGAGCTTTCACAGCTTCTGTATAAGCAAACGCTCTCACCCGAGCCCCAAGAAGGCATCATGGAGGGGCTGCTCAGACCAGAACAAGGGGTGAGGTGAGTTAGAGGAGCTACCATTGGTGACACTCCTCTGCATCACACCACTGTCCCCAGGAAGTCTCCCTGGGATTCAAGACACCTTGGGACTCTCCTCAGACCGCACCTCCTATCCAGGCCACACCCCTCACTGACTATGCTCCACCCCTTCCTTGAGTGTTTTTGCTTGGCCGGAATGTATCCTTGATGAATTATGGTAATGCCTCTTGCTCTCCTGGATGGAGAAACCTCTGGCTTTTCCTTGACTGTAGCATAATGGGCAATATCAAGAGCCATATCCATTGTCCTGTCTGATTTTGCTTGTGGCCCCTGGACGGTTGCTTTGGGAGGTCATGTGGGCCCTCGACCTGCAGAGCAGACACATTCTATCGGCCTGAAGCCTTTATCTAGACACACCCTGCCCATCTGTTGTTATGCTTTCTAGCATTTTGCTAAGGGACTATATTGTTTTCCATTCTTTATGTGATTACAGTCTTGTAAGGCCTGGGTTTGCTGCCCGCAACCCTCCATTGCATCCCCAACTGTGTTGGGGCTGAAAGACAGGAGTGGGGATTATTTAAGAACATGAAGAAGAGCTTGCTGGATCAGACCCATGGCCCATCTAGTCCGGCATCCTGTTCTTACAGGGTCAACCAGATGCCTGTGGGGAATCCACAAGCAGGACCTGAGCACAAGAGCATCGCTCCCCTCCTGTGGCTTCCAGCAACTGGGATTCAGAAGCATTACTGCCTCTGACTGTCGAGACAGAGCATGGCTCCAGTGTGGCTGGTAGCCATGGATTGCTTTACCCACCATGAATCCTTCCGATCTTCTTACAAAGCAATCCACTTTAGAAGTCTGTGTGCTTACAACGGGCTCCCCACTTAAACCTCCAGCCCCTAATGCTTGCATGGCTCAGTGGGTCATGACAGTGGGGCCAGGACCAGGGGGTACAGCACTGATCCAGCCTGGCCCATCTCATTGCTGTCATCTGGGCTGTAACTCATGAAGAGGCCTTCTGTGTCTGCCCTTTCCTCTCCTGCCGAGCTGCATATACTGGTTGAACCAGCAAGTGTATTCCAGGACGGACTGGATT